GGAGAGGAATCCTGTGCTCCCGAAACACCAAAGGTTCTTAATGTTGCACGTCAGAAACACCTGCTAACTGTTAGTGAAGAACCTTTAGCACTGACTAGTGGCTCAGACCATGAGGTAGTTAGTTTATTGTGCCAGCCTGGCCGATAAACACATGTGGGATTGATTGAAGGATGGAGTGAGATAAATGGCTAGGCAAGCCTCGCCTTTCTTTTCTCTCACTCTTTGATCATCGGACCAGTGTACTGGCTGCCTTGCTTGTTCTGTGCTTCAGTTTTCAAGCTACACTACCGGTGGGACACCTAACCTGTGGACTGTGTCGCTGTAATTTGAGGTTCCTTCAAGACCTGCTTCACCACACCATTGGAATTTACATCTCTTGAGCTGGACACTGACTGTTGGTGACCTGCCTTACTGTTTGCTGCCTGTGGGGAGATAGCCTGAATCTCTCTACAGAGGATTACCTGGTGGCCCTCAAGACTTGAAGGACTACCAGTGTCTCACAACTCTCTAACGCATTTGAATTGTACTGAGCCATTTGTACTGTTTTATAATTTAACTGTTCCATTTGAATTTACATCTCTTGAGCTGGGGACAGACTGTTGGTGACCTGGTTGACTATTGGTGACCTGCCTTGCTGTTTGCTGCCTGTGGGGGGATAGCCTGAATCTCTCTGCAGAGAACTACCTGGTGGCCCTCAAGACTTGAAGGACTACCAGTGTCTAACTGGTACAAGTCTAACTACAAGTCTCTTAACACATTTGAAGTATACTGAGCCATTTGTACTGTTTTATAATTTAACTGTTTATTTCTTGTGTTATGTATCTATCCATCTGTATAACTGCTTTATAATTTAACTGTTTATTTCTTGTGTTATCTATCTATCTATATAAATTATATATATATAAAATTATTAGCAATCTGGTTGTGTCTCTCTAGAGTACCCTAAAACAGGCCACTTCTGTGCACTGCCTCTGTCCTGCAGAAGCTTATCCTTGCTTGCCCCTGTCCAACCCACCTAGCCAAATTACTTACCTCCCTGGCTTCTGAGAAGCCTTTGTGGACATCTGACAGTGTGGGGAGCTTGATGCAGATATCCTCACTACCCAAGACATGCTTTCCATCATGTATCCTTCTTTATTACTTACTTCTACCTACCCAATCCCTCAGACAACCCCTTCCCTGGCACAGTCGATCACGTGCATGATAAACACTGCCAATGTTTCAGAAATCCCTACCCCAACTGCAGCTTTATTATTTTTTCCCTTGGGGTTTTGTCCTTTTTATCGATTTTAATGTTTTTCTTTTTGCTTAGTTCTATCGTACTTCGTCTTCCTGTGCAACCCCTGCCCCCCACTTTTAAATGCACATGCCTACCAGGCAAAATCAAATAGACCTGTACATGTAAGCACACACCCCCAAATCAGAGTTGTGGCTGTTGTTTTAAACAGTTTATTTTTTTCCTCCAAGTGCACGGAATAGCCCAAGTTGATACTGCCACAGCAGCAGGACTCTAGCCTCACACCCAAAGTTCACCCCTATCTCTGTTTTTTCCTTTCTTCTCTGAACATTTGAACTTGTCATTCTTTTTCTCCTTGTCTTTTTCTATCTCCTTTTGTCTTCTTCTCCTTAGCTCTTTTGTCTTCCAACTCTCTTTTTCCTTTCTTTTAAAATTAAAATAATTTTGTATATATATTTCCACACCATTTTGGACCTCCATTTTCAGAAGAATGAAACAGGATTCAAACTTCTCCCATGCACAAAAATGAACTCAAGATAGATTAAGAGACCAAAATATAAATCCCAGGGCTATCAGGGTCACCAATGAGGAAACTAGGATGAACTTAAAGGCCTTTTCCCAAGACTTACACTGACTACCAAATACAATAAAGGAATCACATAAAGCAGAAAATAAAATAGAAGATTAGTACCTTTCTTCATTTTTAACTCTTGCAACATTTACTGAACCAAAGGGAATATACACCCAGTACCATGTTGCTAACATGATACTTTTAGCATGATAGTTTCTGTCTTGCCTTTGGTGATTCAGGCTGTGTGCTTAAGACTACTGGGACTTTAGGCTCTGTCTTTTTGAGGTAATAGCATCATTTAGAGGCTACACCAGAAGGATTCGATGCAGAAACCCCACTAAGTGAATGGGGCTGTACCTCAACTCATGTGTAATAGATTTAAGGAATCTATACTTGCCATACTTCTTTGGGCTTAAGGATTAAGCATCCTATTGTGAGAAGAAGCAGATAATGCTATCCTAAATTTATGGAATTGGCAGTCATTGGACTTTGGTTTGAGGGTGACCAATGTATAGTGGGCTGGGACTACCTTATATTTACAATTTTAATGCCCTTCTTCAATTTTTATGGTAGATATTAGTGTGGTTGGAGTAGTGCCAGCCAACCACCACTAATTATGGGTTTACTACGCGCAATTGTACGGTAATTATATCTAAATATTATATTAAAGTCATAGAGAGCATGAGACATAGGAGAGAGATAAAAATGATAGAGTCAGACACATTTCATGGTAGCAATGTTCACCTCAGCCCTGCTTGGTGGTCCAGTGGAGAGAGGGGGAAGGGAAGGAGAATAAGGGGAAAGAGAACAAGGGAGTGAGGATGGGAGAGGAGAGGGGGAACCAATGAGAGGCCTAGGGTGGAGCCAAGAGAGAGCTCTTTATTGCTAACCCAGGCTTATATATCTTTGGCCGGGAGTTCAAGCCCACTAATTACAGGTAAAGACATACGTCATAGGAAGGGGATGCACTATAGGTTATATAGAAATGAGAGGGGGACAATCTAGGGATATACACACAACAGGAAGAGGAGGGATTGGGGGTGTACATGTGACAAGATGGGCAGATCCTAGATTAAGGATGGCAGCCTAACTTTGAATGTCACTGAGTTGGTTTGATCTGTTCTCTAGATCTCCATAGAAACCATTATCAGTAGAGTGTGAAGCCCACCTACAGGAGCCAAGCTAATGGTCACAAGGCTTTAGGGAGTAGCCCATTGTCTTTAACAGCACTTAGTGGGGCCTACTTGTCTGGCAATTGAATGCCTTCAGGGAGGATGTCTCTAAGCATCTGACCTCCCATCATATGCTGGTAAAAAGCCCCCAATGTTTGGCAAGTCTTTGGGGGAGACAAAGATGGGGGACAAAGTCTTTGGGGGAGACGAAGTCTCTTTATGATCCAACAGTATTACTCTAGTAGTCATGGCTCTGCCTTTGTGAAAGTGCTATTGAATGTTGTACCCTATCACTAATTCCTGCTGGTTGTGTAAATAATGTTCACTTAAAAGTTTAATCTGATCAAGTCAACAATTCATGTATTGTGGTCTGATGCTGATTTTCACATGTATACTTTCCTATTCTTGGCAGTATTTTAAATTCCAAACCATTTGCTAAATTAATGACACTATCAATAGAATTGCCATATATACTTGTGTATAAGCCAAGTTTCTCAGCATGTTTTTTATGCCGTTTTTGTGGTAAAATTACATGCCTTGGCTGATATTTGAGTTGGCTTATACTCGAGTATATGTGGTACCTTATGGTCCAGGGGAATGATTTGTCATGTTTTCTATCATAAAATGATAATGATGTCTCTAAATTAAACCAGAGAAATACATAAACCATATATATGTGAATGATTTTGGATTTTCATTTAAATCTAGCCCCAATCTAAGAACAACTAGTTCTTATGACATGTTCCTACTTGATAAGTGCCCTCATGAATAGATCACTGAAGATATGGTGCTATATCAAAGTGCCCCACATGGTGCCTCGCTCTCAGAAACAATTTTGTCCGGGTGTCTGAAGACTTGTCTTAAAAAAAGCAGCCATCTAAATGAGACCTCAACTAAGTCTACATGGAAGAAGCACACCAGCCTGTGTGATCCAAGAATTTTAAATAATAAAATCCAAATTCAAAGGGGAGAATGAAATTAGAGCTTACAATTTTAACATCTAGTTTGCAAAAGTCTACAGCTAACAGTGGAAGCTCAAAATCCATATGTAGGGTCTACATATGGATTAAGTACTAGGTGAATCTCTTCTGATAGCATGTGAACACCTTGCTATCAGACAGAGAGCATGGTAAAGTTCATTATGAAAGATGTATTTAGGTTAGAATGCAATACCTTATTTCATTTCCTTTTCAATTTTAAACATCTTCTTTTTTTGATTGAGGTTTTTATAGGTTTTATCTAGTCCTGATTTTTGCTTTCTTCCTGTTTGTGTGGTTTTCTGTATTAATAACTAGGATAGGTAAACTTACACAGATAGCAACTGGATTAATAGTTACTTAGGGACATGGGAGAAGGCACTTCTAGTCAATAACAATGAGTATAGGAAGAAAATGTTCTGAAATTGATTATGGTGATGATTGCAGAACTTCTCTAAATATGGCTGAAAAATTAAATGTTATGATATGTGAAATATATGCTGATAAAACTATTGTTAAGTGTTTTTTTTTTCAAAATTACTGTTAGGAATGTAAATCCACATATCAATTGTTAAAATTAATTTAACTTTCAAAACTAAAAATGACTACTGTTATTAGCCAGCTTTATTTTCTGTGCATTGGGAGATAAGCAAAAGTATAATCATTAAAATGATTTCTAGTTCTAAAAAGGGAAATTATATATTAACAATATAATTAAATGAGCATAATAAAGGTAAATTCAACATCATTATGCTGAGTGACACATCCAACTGTAGAAATATACCTATACTACAAAGTCCTTTGTGTAAATGTAAAGAAATCACAAATAAGAGGTATGTAGTAAATTACTCCATTATACCTTCTGTTTATAAAAGAAATATCTTTTGCTTTGGGAATTACTGCTTTACAAGTATTTTTATTTATATTAAAGACATGAAGAGAAATTGAAAATTCTATGAGCGTTTAAATATACGTATTTCCCATTATGTAAAGTAACAAAAAGTATACTGTTGGACACTGAATTGGACTCTTGTTCATTTGAATTAAGTAGATTGCCTGTGTGGTTGTTTTTTGGTTGTTTTTTGTAACATGATCATCCTTCTCAACATTTTCCAGAAGGCAGTTTGCATGTCCTTGTTCTTCAGGCTGTAGATGATGGGGTTTAGGGTGGGTGGCACAACGGTGTAGAAGACAGACACCAGCAGATCCCAAACTGAAGGGACCTCTGACACTGGCTTCAGGTAGGCTACCGAACCTGTAGTAAGGAAAACAGTAACGACCACAAGGTGAGGGATGCAGGTCGAAAAGGCTTTTGACCTGCTTTCCACTGATGCAATTCGTAGAACTGTGGAGAAGATGTGAATGTAAGAAACCATAATGGAAATAAAACACACAAATCCTAAGGATGTTGTGACAATTATGGCCCCAATCTCAGCAAGATACTTCTCTGAGCAGGAGAGTTTGAGTAAAGATGGGATCTCACAGAAGAACTGATGGACAAAATTTGACCCACAAAATGGTAATGAGAAAGTCACAGATGTATTCAAGAACCCAGAAGCAACCCCACTGAGCCAGGAAGCAACCACCATTGTCTCACAAGCCTCCTTTTTCAAGACTACTTGATAATGTAGCGGGTGGCAAATGGCCACATATCGATCATAAGACATGACTGTGAGCAAGGCCAGCTCAGCACAAGCAAACAGAACAACCAAAAAGACTTGTGCCACACACCCCAGAAAGGATATGGTACCATTTTGGGTCAAAGAATGAACGATGGCCCTGGGAACTGTGACAGAGATGAAGCAGAGGTCCAGCAATGACAAGGTCTTCAGAAAGAAGTACATGGGACTGTTGAGGTGCTGGTCTGAGGTGGTGAGAATAATGATGGTGAGGTTACCCAGCAGCGCTATTAAGTAAATGAGGAAGAAGAGCGTTGCATGCATGATTTGGTAATCTCTGATATCTGAAAATCCCATGAGGATGAACTCAGTCACCAAAGAAGTCAGGTTGACCATGATTCTCCGGTCTCTGAGGGCTGGTAAAAAGAAAAACATAGTGTTGTTATTATTTTATTTTTATACCTGAATTTGTTGATTACACTGTTTGAAAGTTACACTGTTCATTTCTGTTAAAATCATATGGTATAATAGTTGTATAGAGATATAACAAACAATGATACTGATTTTCCAATTTTTATTGTATTTCTGAACTACAAATATGTGAAATGAAATGTGGAGGGTTAATCTACATTTTTACCTCAAAATCTAAAAAAAAAAAAAAAAATGATGGAGCCTTAGGTAATATGAGCCACAAAACATAGGAAAACAGATGGACTCTTTTCCCAAGTCTATTAGCGCTGCAGCCGCAGGTATAGTACAATTTCAGATACCTCACTTACTTCCATCTGGTTGATTCTGACTCACAGAAACCCTGTGGAACAAGATAGAACTGCCAATCTGGGGTTCCAAGGCTGTGGGTCTTATGGGAGCAGAGAATCTCATCTTTCTCTGCTGGTGGGCTTGTGCTGCCTCCCTCAAGTCCCCAGGATTCCTTTCAGACGCATCAGAGGGAGATGACTGCGTAACCAGTCCCTGTGACCATTAGGTACCTCTCTCTCTCTCTCTCAGTACCTGAAAGGACGTTATTATAATTCTTTTGTGAGCTGTGGATTACTTTATCAAAGGATGAATGGAAATTTATAATGATTTCAAGGAAAGCTTTTTACATTGACTTTATTCTACCCAGAAATATCCACATACTCCTGTACTTCAGTGTAAGAGCCCAATAGATTACAATGGGACAGTTATCTTCATATGCATGCTTAGAATGCCTTTCCTTCTTTATATTCTATAATTATGTACTCTTTAGTATATTGATTCAATGCTCTTGAAGAAAAAATCAAATAAATAAGATAAATATGACATGAGAATTAGTATATTAGTCTACAAGTATAGCCAAATTTGAATATGCTACTTGGCATGCTGTCAACATGACAGAACAGTATTTGTTTTGATTATGTTAATGAGGAAAATTACGTTTGTTAGGAGCAATACTCTGGAGTTAGAGCATCTGGGTTTTTATTACTTTCACTTTTTTGATTCATGATTTATAACAGATTTATGCCTTCTGATTCATCATTATCCTTGCTTAAAAACTGATGCATACATTCTTTTGCTTGTGTACTGGACAGATAAGGCTAAAATTACCATCAGTAATCATCTGCGGTCCAGGGACTGGTGGTTCAGTAGCTATGCATTGTGCTTCTAAGTTCAAGGTCAGAAGTTCAAAACCACCAGTAAGTGCCCTGTGAGGAAGATGAGGCATTCTACTCCCATAGGAAGTTACAGTTGGGGATACTCACAGGACAGTTACACCCTGTTGTATATGGTTGTTGTGTCGGCCATGAGTTTGGATTGATGTTATTGTTGTCCACCAGTGTTTGTCCGCTTGTCATACAATGGTGGTTTGCATTTTTCTATTGTGCTGGTAGTTTTACCACCAGTATTTCAATATCACCAGGGCCACTCAGGGTAGAAACTGCCAATAGAGTTTCCAGACTAAATAAGACAGGTCTTGAAGAAAAGTCTAGCAATGTACTTCTGAAATAGTGAAAGAGAAGATTACAGATTATAACAAGATATTATTCAATGTTATGCTGAAAGAGGAGCCATCAAGTTTAGAGGATCAAGACAACGGTGCAGAATTCAGCTTTTGCTCCATCTACACAAGGTTTCCAGAAGTAGGCCCTAGCTAGATGACAGATGACACACAACAACACACAAAAAGATAAATTATGTTAATTTAAGTAGTATTACATATAATATTTATATTTACGAGTCTATGGAAGTGAGTTTGGAGATATGGTACAAAGGTTTTTAAAATAGTTTTTTTCTTGCATAAGATATTTTCTTCTAGAGAGATGCTGTAATGTACACATAGAGTTTGCATGTCTTCTCATAATTGTGTGTCCGTGTGCATTTGTGTTATATGTGTGTGTGCAGTCAAAGTTGCCAAGAGCTTAAGAAGTATGTAAATTGTTATCTTCAAGTAACCTTGAACTAAAACCCAGGAATATTAGAGATTTTTTTCATGACTACAAAAAAGAGTGGTACAAAGCTAATAGTGCTATACCAGTTTAAAACATGTAATTCTTTTCTTAATGTTCTGAGAGTTTGCATTTATGAAATTAAGAGTGTTGGGAAATTCCAAAAGAATAATTGGTAGTAACTGAGAAGATAAAGGGGGAAATAGTTTGTGCTAAAAAAAATTACATTTTTAACTTGACTTAAATAATGACTGAAATGACAGGAAAAATGTTTGTGAAGAAGTGTGAGGCAGATTAAGGAAAATAATGAAATTATAAGTATCTAATTTACATCTTGAAATGTAAGTAGATAAGCATGAGAAAAGTCAATTTCAGTGAGAGGAATAGTGTGAGAAGCAATGATTCAGGGTTACAGACATGTAACTCCAGGATGTGGCCTACTCTGGGATACACTATGGATTTGAAATGTCACAGGATGAAATGAGGGTTAGAAATTCAAGCACCTTCAAAATCATTAAGAACTCTCTATTTTTGTTAATGAAATGGTGGGTCTCTCTCACGGCATTGTAATCTGCCCCCTCCATCTCTCTCTCACACTCTAGATTCTTCAAGAATCTAAAGAAGAAATCAATGTACATAATCAGAACACAGTAGTCTAACAGTCATACCATTCCAGACACCCTGAATTCCACACGACTCATCAGAGTGACTCAGCATTTTGTGGGGGGAAATTATTTCCTCATTACAATAGCTTATATACATTTACATTTACAAATAGAAAAAACAATGGAAGTAGCATACATTGGATTGGACTATGCTACTAGCTAGATAACAACAGGTAAAAACTTTAGTCACAATTTCTTATATCCATAATGAAAATGGAGGTAATGATGCCTAATTTTGGGAATCATAATTGATACTTGGGACAAAAATAATGTGCACAAAAACATTTTGAAGTAGTGCAATGCAAAATACAAGTGGTCAAAAAAAAAAGGATATAAGGAGATTTCTGATTCAGAACAATTCAGGAGTACAGAAGCATTCACTTACCCTTTGAGCATACGTTCCTTGTCTTAGCTCAAAATTTTTATTTACAGTTTGATCTCAATCTTTCACCTTTTAAACTATTACTAGAAATGTTTACTTTTGTGTTGTGTTGCCATACAGTCTTTCGTCTCCCCCTATTGGGAAATTCTGAAAAGCACCAGGAAGGATGTGTAGAGTGGGTTGAGATACGTCCATAGACGCTAATGTTCTCCCTGTTTCCTCTCACTGAAGATGGCCAGAGCGTCTCTCCAGAAATTCAAAACTGAAAGCATACCTTGTACATTTTATTGAGGAATGGAATTCTGAGGCAGCATTACAGAAATAAAAAATATCCTAAGAGACAAAAAACATAATAGCTTGGTCTTATCCGGAGACTTCCTTCTAATTTATCCCCTAAACACTTTTTTTTCTTGAACAATATTTGTGGAGGCAGAAGCAAGATTTCTAAATTACGTTTGTCCCTTGTTGAAAGAAAGCTCTTTAGGGATTTCTCTTTATTCCTGCATTGTTATATACAAATGTAGAGGTTAAGAATATAATGGAGGTTAAATATAAGGTGTATTGCTTACTTGCTGTAATTCAATTTTATGTATTTCACTAAGAATCTAATGTTTCCTTGGTTTTGCAAAATTATATCATGCTATCTCCAGCTTCATTTCTATCTCCAAGTTCATATTTCTCTTTCCATAAGATATGCTGTGGAGAATGCTCTCCCTTGCCCATCTCATTTCTGCGTGACAGGGTCCTATGGTGGCAGCCCATCTGGTCTGCCACCCTGAGATCTGCCATGTTCCAGGGGAACTTGGATCCACCTGACTCTGCGTCACCAGACTGTGGTCTGCCAGCATCTCACTTCTCCCTCTGTAACATTGGCTGGCACATATGTGTGTCTCCAGGGGGCCAGTTGGCATCTGTGTTGGAGTGGGCTGGTCTGAGGGAATGAATTGGAAGCTTAATCCATGTGGGTACTCTGCAAATAGATTTTGGGATTTCAAGGTTATTCATAGTCTTCTGTAAACCAGGTGCCCAGAATTAAAGCTCTTTTACAATTGGTTTTTCTGCTCTTGAATTTTATTATTTGCAATCCTTGGATCACAAGGGCTGGTGTGCTCCTTTGATGTGAATTTAGATGACACCTCACTTAGATGGCTGCTTGTTTAAGACACACATTTAAGATCCCAGATGATTCTTTCTGATAGGGAAGCACCATCTGATTTCTATGCCATAGTTCTCTACAGCACCTATATCTTCAGTAATTACTTCATGAGGTCAATTATTGATTAGGGCCACATCTTAAGAACTAACTAATTGTTTTTATATTAGAGTTTAAGATGAAATGTGAGATCAAAATCCATTTGTATATTTCAAGTTTAGATATACGCACATTGAAGACATTAACAGCTTGTTGGGAACTAATTTAATTAACCTCTATGAAACATCATGTAATTTTCATAATGGTGTAAATCTAGCCAATGATATTTAATTTAATTACTTTTGTGAATTAATTAAATAATTTAAATAAATGCTAATCGTATTTCATTTAAAGTACTATTGAGAAAAGGGATACACATGCACACACATACGCTTTTTAGACTAAATACATGGGAGTTTATTTAAACAGTTTAGAAATGTAAGTAACTGAACACTTTAAGAAAGCAATGGGGGTTTGACATAAGACAAAAGTTTTAATAAAACACACTACCAAGACAAAATGATATCTCCAGCACTAAGACATGAAATAAAAGGCAAAATTATATGGAAATAGCAAGTACATGATAGTCTTAATTATCAGGCAACGTCAAAAGCATAGATTTGAACCAACTTGCATTGACTTTCAATTCCATGACCTTGGGATAACAGTCCTCCGTGTTTTAGCTGTAATTCCAAAGGAGTAGTTCAGTTCCTTTAATCAATAGCAGGCTT